AGAGTGATGGTGAAATAGATGGGGATATTATCAGCAGAATTCAAGTTGGATGGTTGAAGTGGAGGAATGCATCGGGCTTGTTATGTGATAGAAATGTACCCCTCAAACTTAAGGGAAAATTCTATAAGATGGTAGTGAGGCCTGCAATGATTTATGGTGCCGAATGTTGGCCTTTAAAAGAGAAGCATAATACTAAGTTAAGTGTGACAGAGATGAGGATGCTCAGGTGGATGAGTGGCTTTACCCTTAGAGATAAGATACGAAATGAACATATACATGAAAAGGTTGGAGTAGCTCCAGTAGAAGATAAAATTAGAGAGAGTCGCCTTAGATGGTTTGGCCACATAAAACGACGGCCTTTCGATGACCCGGTTAGGAGAGTAGAGGTATTAGATTTGACTTATGTTAAGAAAGGTAGGGGTAGACCTAAAAAGACTTGGTTAGAAAATATTAGGAATGACCTTTCTTTATTAGATTTAAACGAAAATTTGACTTTTAATAGGACACAATGAAGAAAAAGGATTCATGTAGCCGACCCCACATAGTGGGATAAAGACTTGATGCTGTTGTTGTTGTTGTTGTTGCTGCTTATGATGCAAAAATAACTATTATTATAGAGTTTAATGATTTAAATGTTTATTCAATTAACAATCTTTTTGGATCACTAATTACTTACGAGCAATGAGTGACTCAAAGGCATATTGATGAAGGTGAGAAGCAAAAGGAGAATAACATAGCATTGAACAAGAGTTGAATTCCAATATATGCATGGATTCACTCCAAGATAAGCATGAGATGAGAATCTAGACTAACGATGGGAAATAATAGTAGAAATAATCACAAATAATTCCAAACAATTAGGATCGCATGAATACTTAACACAGGAGACAAAAAGACTCAAATGTGTTATATTACCAAAAATAAAAACAACTCACGTAATAAAAAATAAGTCGATATGAAACTTATCTATGAGAACATAAACTAAACAACAATATATATAAACCAACCAATTAAGCTGAACCAAATCAAAGGAGGCCCAACCCAACAACAACAACAACAACATCAAGCCTTTATCCCACTACGTGGGGTCGGCTACATGAATCCTTTTTCTCCATTGTGTCCTATTAAAGTCAAATTCTCATTTAAATCTAATAAGGAAAGATCATTTCTAATATTTTCTAACCAAGCCTTCTAAGGTCTGCCTCTACCTTTCTTAACATAAGTTAAATCTAATACCTCTACCTTCCTAACTGAGTCATCGGAAGACCGTCGTTTTATGTGACCAAACCATCTAAGGCGACTCTTTCTAATCTTATCTTCTACTGGAGCTACTCCAACCTTTTCACGTATATGCTCATTTCGTATCCTATCTCTAAGGGTAAAGCCACTCATCCACCTGAGCATCCTCATCTCTACCACACTTAACTGAGTATTATGCTTCTCTTTTAATGGCCAACATTCGGCACCATAAAGCATTGCAGGCCTCACCACCATCTTATAGAATTTTCCCTTAAGTTTGAGGGGTACTTCTTTATCACACAACAAGCCCAATGCATTCCTCCACTTCAACCATCCAACTTGAATTCTACTGATAATATCCCCATCTATTTCACCATCACTCGGAATAATAGATTCAAGATATCTAAAATGTGTACTCTTATTAATAACTTGATCGCCCAAAGTCACAATCCCCTTACTAGATCTATTACTACTAAAATTACACTCCATATATTCCGTTTTAGATCTACTCAAGCGAAAACCTTTAGACTCTAAGGTTGACCTCCATAATTCAAGTTTATCTTCAACATCCTCTCTAGTCTTATCAACAACAAGAATATCATCAGCAAAAAACATACACCAATGTACATCCTCTTGCAAATGTCTAGTGAGAACATCCATAACTAAAGCAAAGAGATATGGGCTTAAGGTTGATCCTTGATGTAACCGAACCAAAATAGGGAAAGTAGTGGTGTTAGTAAGTTAAGAAAGGTAGAGGTAGACCTAAAAAGACTTGGTTAGAAAATATTAGAAATGATCTTTCTTTATTAGATTTATACGAAAATTTGACTTTTAACAGGACACAATGGAGAAGAAGGATTCATGTAGCCGACCCCATGCAATGGGACAAAGGCTTGATGTTGTTGGGTCAACTTCCTTATCTAGCTAAGTAGGCTAAGTTCCATAATAAGTTGGGATGGTGGAATTATGATATTTTGATCGGATTTGTCATCATTTTACCACCACTCTTCTGAATTATGAATGTTAATCTTTATATTTCTATTCCAAATTGCTACAGGTTGCTTCAAACATGAAGTCAACATAGTAAATCATTCTAGAACCTATAGAGCATTTGCCTTAATTGAAGGTTCTCTCATGTTTGGTAAGGATGATTTATTATGAGAATTTGTGCCTATGAGAAGCTTCAAATCAAGAATGTAAAATCCTCTATGAATTTGAAAAATTTGCATAGTATTTTATCAAATAACCCATTTTTCTTTTAAATATTCAACCCATAGTCACTCGAAATATGTAGAGTCAGGCAAGAATTTTTAGTGCCCAAAGATACATACTTCACCTTGACCAATTTTAAAACCTTATGAATTGTTTTTTTAAGAGTCTGACCATTCATATGATATGCACTTCTTATTTGTGTGAGGTGCTAGTTTTCAGATGAATTTTTTTAAGAATTTAATCAATATAAATTATAATTTTGCTTAATCTTTTTATCCTTCTGAATTAATTTATTGTGAGTTGAAAGCTTAAAATGATGTTGTCTTTACCTCCGTATGAATAATAAGTTAATGCAGTATTTGTTATTCATATGTATGTTTTGCATCAAAATATCACTAGAGGCTTCTTATTATGACAATTATTGCTCAATTGAAGATGTCAACATAAGAAAATAAAATTCAAATAAGGTGATAAAATAATATTTCATTTGAAATTGAAAAGTTTTCCTAGGAATACTTAAGAAATTAATTGCTTGAAAAACATTATCATGTGAGGTTATGTAATAAATTGGGCAAGTGTGAGGGCAAGCAGGGAGTGTGACAGGCGAGATGAGAGTGAACGAGCGGGCAACAAACGGGTTCCATTCGGGTTTGTAGGTTAACCTAGACCTGAATATTTCAGCCGGGTCAAAAAATTAAACTTGAACCCGACTAGATTGAGTCGACCCGAACATGAAATTTTTTGTCCTGGCCTGGGTCAGGTTTTCGGGTTAGGTCATATATTGACATTCCTAGGAGATTTGATGTGTTAGAGCTGACCTATATTAAGAAAGACATAGGTAGACCTAAAAAGCCTTTGTTAGAAAGCATTAAAATGACATTTTTTTGGTTAGATTTAAATGAGAATTTAGCTCTTAATAGGACAAAATGAAGGAAAAAAAAATTCATATAGCTGACCCATGTAATGTGATAAAGGCTTGATGTTTTTGTTTTTGTAGCATGAATTCTGAATTATTTACGTAGCTTTTTCCTTTTTCACGCCGTTAATTTTTAGTAGATGGTTGTTAGTCTTTTTATTTGAATTGATTTTCATTGCCTTTTTTTACTTTCATCAAAGTACTTATTAGCTGTTTTAAATTAATAGTTTCTGTAATGTGAACGCTGAGTGTTGCATTCTTTTTGCATCTTATATTAAATTTGATTTATAAACTCTGGACTTTATAATATCCTGACTAGATTAGTAATGTTCACAGTATAGCTGTACAGTCTTTTTATTTAAGTCGCTTCATATTCATACATTTTTTGGTCAAGGGGGCTTAAGAAACGCCTTCTTCTTGATTGGTTGTTGATTTGTTTATGATACCTCGATATTTATGTCTTCATTTTTGCTGTACAGGGATTAACAAGTTAGGTGTTGTTTTCTTGGCTTCAATTTTTCTTTTAGTGGGTTGCTCGAACTAGTATTCTCTCCATGCGTTGTTAGTTTCTGTCTCTATATGTTTGTGTTTTGTGTATCTCGGCCTGTCTCGCTATCAGTCTTTTGTGTATCTCTTCCGTTTATTTTACAACGTGCTCTCCTCTATCTGTGTATTGTGCCTCTCCTTCTCCATCCCTTTGGAGTTTCTTACCCGCCTTGTAGTGGTTTAGTTCTGAAATATCTTTATTCACTCATGTATCAGTGCAGTCACTCAATTTTCTGCCTCAGTCTCTTCACCCGTCAGAGTAGTTGGTTGACCAGTTGATCAGATGATAAACTAGCTACTAACTATACCCATGTCTTTTTGATTTTAAAGGTGGGCGGTGCTATCTCTTCAGGCATTTTCATTAAATATTTTCTAACCGTCCACCCCTTCCTCTCTCTCTCTCTCACACACACATACAAACAATTACACACTCCATCTCAATCTTACTGTCACTTCCTTTTTTTTTTTTTTTTTTTTCGCTTTCTCACTGCCCATTCCCTTGCTCTCTATTTATTTTCATATCGTTCAATGTCACTTTCTTTCTATCTAAAAAAGTCTGCTGTGATTCTGTGAATCATATTGACTGGGCCACGTTGATTTGGACCAGTCATGATGAATTTGAGAATTGTAACTAAAGAATGTTTTGTATTCAGGCCTGGAATTCGAACCAGTTTACTAAGCCAGTCAACATTACTCCAACAGTAAAAATTTGGGCCAGTACATGTTGAAATCAGACTTGATACTCCTAGTACATAAATGCTTTGTCCTACTAGATATTTAGAAGGATGCATGGTTGGTGATGAACAGCCCATTTTATTTTATTAACCACGCAATGCCAGCTATTTCCAATCTGTTCTGGTTTAATCGACAGTTTACTGAGCAATCATCTACTGAGATCCATTATTGGAAAACAACCTTACTGTATTTTAGGTAGTTTTGGCTTTTTATCTTAACTTGGCGTGGCATGGATGGTAATTTTGGTGGGTTTTATGCAAATGGAGTTTTAAACTGTTAGCTCTTATCACATTTACTTTAATCTTTCTTACTTGCAAATATTTCCATTTTAATTTATGTTTTTTTTTTTTAGGAAGTGTCTGCTGCATTTGTCTGCTTTAAATCACGTTATGGTGCTTCAACTGCACTCCGCATCCAACTATCTGAAAATCCCATCGAATGGGTGACAGAGCAAGCCCCGGAACCTCATGATGTGTATTGGCCTCTTTTTTCTTCATCATTCATACGGAGATGGATTTCCAAGCTTTTGGTTATAGTGGCGTCAATTACCCTGACAATTTTATTTCTGCTTCCTGTCGCATTTGTCCAAGGACTTACCAATTTGAATCAGTTAAAGACGCTGTTACCTTTTCTTAACAACATACTTGAGATGTAAGTATATGACGGAAATAGCGTTGAGGGTCGTTTAAATTTCTTTTAACATATGTTGATATTTCCTGCTGTTTTTTTCATCTCTTCTGATATTGAAAGACAAGCAATAAAATTAAATTTTGTGTTACAAAGATGAGGTTGTTCAGGAAGATGAGTGGCTTCACTCTTAGAGACAAAATGCAAAACAATTATATACGTGAAAAGGTTGGAGTAGCTCTAGTGGTGGATAATATTAGAGAGAGTTTCCTTAGATGGTTTGGTCGCATAAAACGTCGGCCTTCCAATGACCTGGTTAGAAGAGTAGATGTATTAGATTTGGCATATCTTAAGAAAAAGAGGTAGACCTAAAAATATTCGATTAGAAATTATTAGAAATGATGTTTTTTATTAGATTTAAATGAAAATTTGACTCTTGACATAACATAATGAAGCTTATATTCAAGTCATTAAGAATATGTATGCAGGTTCTGTTACTTATGCCCAGACACTAGGTGGTTTGACCACGTATTTTCCTATTTTAGTTGGATTACATGAAGGCTTAAGCCCATATCTTTTTTGCTTTAGTCATGGATGTTCTCACTAGACATTTGCAAGAGGATGTACCTTGGCTTTTTGTTGATGATATTCTTCTTGTTAATAAAACTAGAGAGCGAGTTGAAGGTAAACTTGAATTATGGAAGTTAGAGTCTAAAGGCTTTCGTTTGAGTAGATCTAAAATTGAATTATATAGAGTGTAATTTTAGTAATAATAGATCTAGTGGCGGGATTGTGACTTTCGACGATGAAGTCATTAATAAGAGTACACATTTTAAATAACTTGGGTCTATTGTTCCACATGATAGTGAAATAGATGGGGATATTATTAGTAGAATTGAAGTTGGATGGTTGAAGTGGAGGAATGCATTGGGCTTATTGTGTGATAGAAAATTCCCTCTCAAACTTAAGGGAAAATTCTATATGATGGTAGTGAGACCTACAATGCTTTATGGTGCAGAATGTTGGCTATTAAAAGAGAAGCATAATATTAAGTTAAGTGCTCCAAAGATGAAGATGCTCAGGTGGATGAGTGGCTTTACTCTTAGAGACTGTATACGAAATGAGCATATACGTGAACGGGTTGGAGTAGCTCCAGTGGAAGATAAAAGTAGAGAGACGCCTTAGATGATTTGGTCACTTAAAATGGAGGCTTTCCGATGACTCGGTTAGGAAAGTAGATGTATTAGATTTAACTTAAATTAAGAAAGGTTGAGGTAGACCTAAAAAGACTTGGTTAGAAATTATTAGAAATGACATTTCTTTATTAGATTTAAATGAAAATTTATCTCTTAGCAGGGCACAACAGAGAAAAATGATTGATGTAGCTGACCCCACATAGTGGGATAAAG